TCTTCATGGGAGCCGACTCCCTACCACATCTTTCTCCTGCGCAGTGACTGGTGTGTTCCAGCTGCCTACCATTACAGCCAAATGCTAGTGACAGCACCGCCAGAGCTCCCTTTATGTCAAGGCTTATGCAGTGGAAATTTTTAGAGCACATTAAAATAGGTTAGATTCCCTGGTAAACAGAGCTGAGATGTAGCTTTGCTCGCAGGAAGTTATTTAGGGTGTTCTCAGGATCCAGGCCTGGGGAAGGGAAGGGGTGGGAAGGGAAAGAAAGCGAAGCACAGAGGAAGAAGCCGGGCTCCAGTGGGGAGCTGCGGAGCCGGACAGAGCCTTCCAAGTCCCAAAGGGGCCGACATGGCCAGGCCTTTATATTCCTACAACAAGCAGTCCTTGAGGGGACACTCTGAAGGGAGTGTGGTGACTCTAGTCCTCAGGGAGTGCCTTGACCACAGTGCACGACTGCACTGGTGATGGGTGCTGGGTGCCCTGTGAGGCAAGGGACTCTCTGTGGTCAAGGCAGTCCCTGAGGAGGTTGCAGTTGTTGAGTGTCACACAACATCGTGAAAAGTTTGGCGTTTTCTTTCAACTGTTCATCATTTGAGTGTTGCGTCTACTTGATAACACATATCAAGATAGAGACTGAGTGGTCTCCCTCGCTCCCTTCGTCACACTAACCCTGCCCTTCACTCCATGCCAGGGTTTCTAGGACACTTGAGCAAACCCAAGGCCGTGGCAAATGACTGTCTGTGCTGGCCGAGGGCCAGGGGACAGTGTTCTGATAAGGAAGCTCTTCCAGTAAGAAGGGTTGACTTGCTGTGAAAGGACACGGGGTTTGCGTGCAACAGATGACTCAAGCCTTGGCCATGCTGCTGCGCTGCCATCTCTCCCTCACTTAACAACCGTGGCCTGGCATGCAGTGAAGGGCAGGGTTAGCGGGACGGAGGGAGCGAGGGAGACCACTCAGTCTCTATCTTGGTATGTTATCAAGTAGACGCAACACTCAAATGATGAACAGTTGAAAGAAAACGGCAAACTTTTCACGATGTTGTGTGACAGACTCAGCCTTGCTTAGGTGTTGTGCACTAATCCCCCCAAGTGCACCACTCCTTCACATGTGTACAGAACCGCGGATGGTAAAGAGTGCTCCTGCTTTAAGGACTCTCTCAAACTCTCTGGGCTTTACTATGGTCATTTTAC